AATCAAACTGTGATCTGAAACATCGGCCACACCAATTTTGCATTCTGTAACATTATGAATTTCTTCAATACTAATTAGAAAATAATCAATTCTCGAATATGTAGCCTGAGGGACAGAGTAATGGGTATAGTCCCTAGTTTGAGGGTTGCGTGTTCTCCATACGTCAATCAATCCCACCTCCTGTAATATTGTGTTCATAAAATTTGTCAGGCGATGTTTACATGTTGCAACACTGGTTGTGTCGATGTTCCGATTTAACACAACATTGTAGTCCCCTGCGCATACCACCAGACCTTCAGATTCTTGTGTCACTAAATTGAATAAATCTTTGAAATCACTTTTCTTACTTCCTGGTGGGGCATAGATATTGACCAGGGTGACTAGTTTATTTTCCAATTTCCCTTTAATTAATAAGTATCTACCTTCCTTATCAGACACCTCTCTGTGACATTCAAATTGGACAGAATTTGCTATTAAAGTAGCTACTCCTCTTTTCTGACGTTGTCTATAGGAGTTATAATAAGTGTTTTTATTGCCAAATCTTTTCAATTTTTCATGTTCCTGTGGAGGCAGGTGGGTCTCCTGCAAGAATATTACCTGTGCCTTTTCTTTTTTGAGTTTTGCTACCACCTTACTTCTTTTGATTGGGTTATTCAATCCATTCACATTTAGTGTCACCAGTTTAATATTATTAAAAGACATATAATCTGCACAAAGACACAGACTTGACACTGTGATGAGACATGACTGAATAGGGGAACAGAGGGAACATGAAACACAGAGACAACAGTGACTAAATGTAAAACACAGGGAAGGGACAGTGAACTAGGAACTATAAATATCACACAAGCAGAAAACAATAAAAAGAACCAAACACATGACAAACAATAAATCAAAGAATATAACTTAAACCAGAATTACACAAACTGGGTCACAGCTAGATGTCATCTATGTAGATGAGGAGGCTGATTTTTCTCCATTTTGAGGCGATTCGGGCCTATGCATAGCAGTATATGGGACAGGGCATCTCCTTGGTAAATCCAACACTTAATGGTGACTTGCGTATTGGTTTGAAGTTGGCCTTTAGTGTTGCCACGTCCCTGAAATCCTCATCAAGGCTCTTTGGAGCCTGTTGGTCTTGTAAAATTCTTGCTGTCAGTCCAGGCAGTACACAGGTTGGTTAGTCTGGTCTTACAGTCTTGAGTGACTGCTCTGTCTACCAGGAGCTGGTGTTTTGCCCCCTTGTGCCACTTACTTTGTGGGCTATGCACCTGTTCGTTTTAGCCGCTATTATGCCTGATAGGAGCTTCCATGTTGTACTGAGGCAGGTTATTCCCCGCCTTCTGGGGATCCTTGGGGATCTGGCCTTCGGTTTGCCATTTCTGCGATTTTGCATCTCATCCAGTAGCAGCTGGTTCATTTGTGCTGTTGTGCTCATTGAGTGCAGTTAGGTTCTTTAGCCAGTAAGTGTGAATGGTGCTGTCCAACTCATCATACTTGGGACACTTTCTTGGATGTCTGCTGCTGGGATGGTAACTGGTTTCTATTCAGGGAAGTCCCTGTGGACTGCTACTATTGGTTTTGCATGAGTGAGTGGTGGCTGAAGGATTTACAGGTATGCAGAGAGTCTATAATGGCAACAACAGATGCAATACTTCAAATTACATCTCACAAACACAATGAACTCTCACATACAGAAACACACACAAGCTTTTCTACCATCATTCAGCTTCCAGCTACAGATGGAAATTTATGTAATTTGCTGCAAAAAGAAATAGAAAACCAAAAAAGATGAAGGACCACAAGAAATAGATTAACAATACAATTACCACCGCCTACATTCAAATACAATTTCTGAAAAAAATAAAATAAATAATTAATCAATCACCTTTACTGTCTCATTCTTAATCACTTACATCACAGGAAAACTCTGTAGCAGGTTCATGGTGTTTATATTGAACCACTGCATTGCCATTGCAGTTTTAGGTTCAATTTGTGGATAACTGGAGGTGTATGTCAGACATGAAATCCAGCATTTACTGCCCAACCTATCTGCTACCTTGTGAGAGGGAATCCTATTGAGAGGAATCAGATATTGCCTACAGACAGATGTTTGAAGTACAAAGTCTCAGGGGTGTGTTTACCAAGATAAGAATGAAGGGGAGGGAAACACAGGGGTGCTAAGATCTCTACCAGCAAATCCATGAAAATGAAATTACTTTCGGGTAAAGAAGTGTGTCTGTGTCTGAATGTGTTTTTTATTTTATTTTATTTTTTTTAACTGCAGGAGAAGATTAATCTAACAGAATCAGGCCCCAGGTGCAGGCTGTGTGAAGATGCCCCTGAGACAATACAGCACATAAAAGTAGGGTGCAAGATGCTAGCAGGCAAAGCATACATGGAACGCCATAACCAAGTGGTTAGTGTACAGGAACATCTGTACGGAGTATGGCCTAAGTCCCAAGGTCAATATGAGACACACTCCCCCTAGGGTGGTTGAGAGTGACCAAGCTAAGATCCTGTGGGACTTCCAAATACAGTAAGACACACTGGTGATGGCTTACCAACCAGAAATGATAGTGGTAGACAAGCAGAGGAAGATTGTTGTAGTAATAAATGTAGCTATACCGAATTGTGGCAACATCAGGAGGAAGGAACATGAAAAGCTCAAGAAAACCCAAGGGCTGAGAGAAGAACTCGAGAACATGCAGACGGTGAAGGCAAGTGTAGTTTGGTGTCTAGTTTGCATGCCAGTAGGGATAATAATGATGATTTGGGCTTTGGGGCAAGCGGACCAATTCAATTCAATTCAATTCAATTTTATTTATATAGCGCCAAATCACAACAAATGTCGCCTCAAGGCGACCACTGTTCTCTGCAGGTGTGTGTTTGAATCTGACATCACCAGCTTAAATATGACTCACCTACATGAAGGCCAGAGCCTTTTGAAGTAGAGCTAAGGTAAAGCCGAGGTACCGATCTCCCGCTTTCAGTGGACTGCAGGGAGCATTTGATTTTAAAAGCCTGCTCTTGTGCTTGATATAATTAGAGTGAGAATATCCATTTAGCAGATTCATTTGGGTTATTAGTGGGATTAAGCCTTTAATTAGACCTCTTTGGCTCAGGATGGCATTTGGCTGGAGAGCTTTTCTGAAAAGAGACGAAAATTAGTAACAGTATACTGTGTACAACAAAAATATCAACGTTATAGGCTTTTCACATAGTGTGGGAATTTAGTAATTGAAACTGAAAATCCTTGAGAAATGACTTCCATAAAGTAAAGACTTCACCAGATAAGCATACCTTCAAGATTATGGAGCTAGCAGGAAAAACATGAATTAAAGTGCAACTCAGTCAATACAACCAAATCTCTAATAAATGTAAGTCAAAAATCTATACAGAGGTTTAAA